AGGTTTACTGTAAACAAAGGACATTATATCTAGGTTTACTGTAAACAAAGGACATTATATCAAGGTTTACTGTAAAAAAAGGACATTATATCAAGGTTAACTGTAAACAGAGGACATTATATCTAGGTTTACTGTCAACAAAGGGACATTATATCAAGGTTTACTGTAAACAAAGGACATTATATAAAGGTTAACTGTAAACAAAGGACATTATATCAAGGTTTACTGTCAACAAAGGACATTATATCTAGGGTTACTGTTAACAAAGGACATTATATCTAGGTTTACTGCTAACAAAGGACATTATATCAAGGTTTACTGTAAACAAAGGACCTTATATCAAGGTTTACTGTAAACAAAGGACAATATATCAAGGTTTACTGTAAACAAAGGACCTTATATCAAGGTTTACTGTAAACAAAGGACATTATATAAAGGTTAACTGTAAACAAAGGACATTATATCAAGGTGTCCTGTAAAAAAAGGACATTATATCAAGGTGTACTGTAAAAAAAGGAAATTATATCAAGGTGTACTGTAAACAAAGGACATTATATCTAGGGTTACTGTAAACAAAGGACATTATAACTAGGTTTACTGTTAACAAAGGACATTATATCAAGGTTTACTGAAAACAAAGGACATTATATCTAGGTTTACTGTAAACAAAGGATATTATATCTAGGTTTACTGTCAACAAAGGGCATTATATCAAGGTTTACTGTAAACAAAGGACCTTATATCAAGGTTTACTGTAAACAAAGGACCTTATATCAAGGTTTACTGTAAACAAAGGACAATATATCAAGGTTTACTGTAAACAAAGGACCTTATATCAAGGTTTACTGTAAACAAAGGACAGTATATCATGGTTTACTGTAAACAAAGGACATTATATCATGGTTTACTGTAAACAAAGGGCATTATATCTAGGTTTACTGTAAACAAAGGATATTATATCTAGGTTTACTGTCAACAAAGGGCATTATATCAAGGTTTACTGTAAACAAAGGACCTTATATCAAGGTTTACTGTAAACAAAGGACCTTATATCAAGGTTTACTGTAAACAAAGGACAATATATCAAGGTTTACTGTAAACAAAGGACAATATATCAAGGTTTACTGTAAACAAAGGACCTTATATCAAGGTTTACTGTAAACAAAGGACCTTATATCAAGGTTTACTGTAAACAAAGGACCTTATATCAAGGTTTACTGTAAACAAAGGACAATATATCAAGGTTTACTGTAAACAAAGGACCTTATATCAAGGTTTACTGTAAACAAAGGACCTTATATCAAGGTTTACTGTAAACAAAGGACAATATATCAAGGTTTACTGTAAACAAAGGACCTTATATCAAGGTTTACTGTAAACAAAGGACCTTATATCAAGGTTTACTGTAAACAAAGGACCTTATATCAAGGTTTACTGTAAACAAAGGACCTTATATCAAGGTTTACTGTAAACAAAGGACATTATATAAAGGTTAACTGTAAACAAAGGACATTATATCAAGGTTTACTGAAAACAAAGGACATTATATCTAGGTTTACTGTCAACAAAGGACATCATATCTAGGTTTATTGTAAACAAAGGACAATTTATCAAGGTTTACTGTAAACAATGGACATTATATCTAGGTTTACTGTAAACAAAGGGACATTATATCTAGGTTTACTGTAAACAAAAGACATTATATCAAGGTTTACTGTAAACAACGGACATTATATCTAGGTTTACTGTAAACAAAGTACATTATAACTAGGTTTACTGTTAACAAAGGACATTATAACTAGGTTTATTGTAAACAAAGGACAATTTATAAAGGTTTACTGTAAACAAAGGACATTATATCAAGGTGTACTGTAAAAAAAGGAAATTATATCAAGGTGTACTGTAAACAAAGGACATTATATCAAGGTGTACTGTAAACAAAGGACATTATATCAAGGTGTCCTGTAAAAAAAGGACATTATATCAAGGTGTACTGTAAACAAAGGACATTATATCTAGGGTTACTGTTAACAAAGGACATTATATCTAGGTTTACTGCAAACAAAGGACATTATATCTAGGTTTACTGCTAACAAAGGACATTATATCAAGGTTTACTGTCAACAAAGGACATTATATCTAGGTTTACTGTCAACAAAGGACATTATATCTAGGTTTATTGTAAACAAAGGACAATTTATCAAGGTTTACTGTAAACAAAGGACATTATATCTAGGTTAACTGTCAATAAAGGACATTATATCTAGGTTTACTGTAAACAAAGGACATTATAACTAGGTTTACTGTTAACAAAGGACATTATATCAAGGTTTACTGTAAACAAAGGACATTATATCAAGGTTTACTGTAAACAAGGGACATTATATCTAGGTTTACTGTTAACAAAGGACATTATATCTAGGTTTACTGTCAACAAAGGACATTATATCAAGGTTTACTGTAAACAAAGGACATTATATCAAGGTTTACTGTAAACAAAGGACATTATATCAAGGTTTACTGTAAACAAAGGACATTATATCAAGGTTTACTGTAAACAAAGGACATTATATCAAGGTTTACTGTAAACAAAGGACATTATATCAAGGTTTACTGTAAACAAAGGACATTATATCAAGGTTTACTGTAAACAAAGGACATTATATCTAGGTTTACTGTAAACAAAGGACATTATATCAAGGTTTACTGTAAACAAAGGACATTATATCAAGGTTTACTGTAAACAAAGGACATTATATCAAGGTTTACTGTAAACAAAGGACATTATATCTAGGTTTACTGTAAACAAAGGACATTATATCAAGGTTTACTGTAAACAAAGGACATTATATCTAGGTTTACTGTAAACAAAGGACATTATATCAAGGTTTACTGTAAACAAAGGACATTATATCTAGGTTTACTGTAAACAAAGGACATTATATCAAGGTTTACTGTAAACAAAGGACATTATATCTAGGTTTACTGTAAACAAAGGACATTATATCAAGGTTTACTGTAAACAAAGGACATTATATCTAGGTTTACTGTAAACAAAGGACATTATATCAAGGTTTACTGTAAACAAAGGACATTATATCTAGGTTTACTGTAAACAAAGGACATTATATCAAGGTTTACTGTAAACAAAGGACATTATATCTAGGTTTACTGTAAACAAAGGACATTATATCAAGGTTTACTGTAAACAAAGGACATTATATCTAGGTTTACTGTAAACAAAGGACATTATATCAAGGTTTACTGTAAACAAAGGACATTATATCAAGGTTTACTGTAAACAAAGGACATTATATCAAGGTTTACTGTAAACAAAGGACATTATATCTAGGTTTACTGTAAACAAAGGACATTATATCAAGGTTTACTGTAAACAAAGGACATTATATCAAGGTTTACTGTAAACAAAGGACATTATATCAAGGTTTACTGTAAACAAAGGACATTATATCAAGGTTTACTGTAAACAAAGGACATTATATCAAGGTTTACTGTAAACAAAGGACATTATATCTAGGTTTACTGTAAACAAAGGACATTATATCAAGGTTTACTGTAAACAAAGGACATTATATCTAGGTTTACTGTAAACAAAGGACATTATATCAAGGTTTACTGTAAACAAAGGACATTATATCTAGGTTTACTGTAAACAAAGGACATTATATCAAGGTTTACTGTAAACAAAGGACATTATATCTAGGTTTACTGTAAACAAAGGACATTATATCAAGGTTTACTGTAAACAAAGGACATTATATCTAGGTTTACTGTAAACAAAGGACATTATATCAAGGTTTACTGTAAACAAAGGACATTATATCTAGGTTTACTGTAAACAAAGGACATTATATCAAGGTTTACTGTAAACAAAGGACATTATATCTAGGTTTACTGTAAACAAAGGACATTATATCAAGGTTTACTGTAAACAAAGGACATTATATCTAGGTTTACTGTAAACAAAGGACATTATATCAAGGTTTACTGTAAACAAAGGACATTATATCTAGGTTTACTGTAAACAAAGGACATTATATCAAGGTTTACTGTAAACAAAGGACATTATATCTAGGTTTACTGTAAACAAAGGACATTATATCAAGGTTTACTGTAAACAAAGGACATTATATCTAGGTTTACTGTAAACAAAGGACATTATATCAAGGTTTACTGTAAACAAAGGACATTATATCTAGGTTTACTGTAAACAAAGGACATTATATCAAGGTTTACTGTAAACAAAGGACATTATATCTAGGTTTACTGTAAACAAAGGACATTATATCAAGGTTTACTGTAAACAAAGGACATTATATCTAGGTTTACTGTAAACAAAGGACATTATATCAAGGTTTACTGTAAACAAAGGACATTATATCTAGGTTTACTGTAAACAAAGGACATTATATCAAGGTTTACTGTAAACAAAGGACATTATATCTAGGTTTACTGTCAACAAAGGACATTATATCAAGGTTTACTGTAAACAAAGGACATTATATCTAGGTTTACTGTCATCAAAGGACATTATATCTAGGTTTACTGTAAACAAAGGACATTATACCTAGGTTTTAGCAAATGCCAGTTTGGCACTGACTTGAAGCTGAGTTCTTGTGAACTGCACATTAACAATAGATAATTCTGTATTGATGATAAAACATATTGTTCATTACAAAATATGTGTTTTAGAACCAGAGAAATTATTGACAAGTTCTGAAAGATAAGACTGTGGTTACAAACATTTCTTCAACGGGTGAAAACATCAAGTACAGGTCACAAAGTGTCTTATTTTAGTTAACATATAAAACCAGGTATCATCAATAGCAGGAAATA